CTGGATGCTGCAGGTTCAAATTGGCTAAAAATGTCAAAAACTTCCCTCACATAAAGGCAAAATCGAAAATCAAATTTTCAATACCCATCATGTGAAACTTTAATATATTCAAGACTTAGAACAAACCAAACGAACGTTGAAAATAAAATATTTCTAAAATAACCAAACAAAAGTACCAGAGTAGCTTCCTCGACGAGTTCTTGAACGTGGTTTTTACCGAAGCACGACGACCGGCGTCATAAACTTAATGTAGGAAAGACAACGATTTGGTTTTGTCACGGAAATATTCGGATCCGGTCCGGCCCGCTACCGACCTGGTGAACTCTTTGGATACGGAACGGAGCGCCGCCGCAGCAACGCCATCTGTGGCGGCTGAGGACGCAGCCATTCCTTCGTCGTTGATGTCACTGTTATGGCCTCTCGTGCTGCCTTTCCTCTTGTTCTGGATAACGGTGCGTATATAGCCAGAATTGCACGATGCTGTGTCGTTGATCTTTGCAATCAATCATACGACTATGCGTGTTACACCCATGTGCCAAGTCAGGTTAGTGTGAATTTGATATAACGTGGATTCGATGTCTCGTTTGAGTATCGATCATTGATCGCGTAAATTGATCTTAAACCTTTGTTTAAAAAAATTACAGTGTTTTCTTTCATTTTATTTAAGTGCATTGAGAATATTTTATATATCCAAATTAATTTATTTGGGTGAAACCAGATTCTGAAGGCTAAAATGGAGACAAGATTCTGAAAGGCTAAAAAAGGAGACAAGGAAATTAAAAAAAAAAAAAAAAAAAAAAAAGGATTACTGTAATAATCCATTTATTTGGGTGGACAGTTAATAAGATTCAGGAAATAAAATGAAAGCAACAAAATCAGTCGAAATTGTACATGTTGTTTTCAAAAGCCATTTGCTGTTGAATTCTAGACTTGATGATCCATCGAATAATCTCCAGTGCAAACACAACACAAGCCAATACTGCAAGAATTCCCACATATACCAGTTTCCATCTTCAGCATGAGCTTGATGCATTACCCTTGAAATATATTCGCTATGCTAAACCTATCACTGCATATCCCATCACATGATGGTAGATCTCCCAACACTCCTGCATTCATCTCTCTCCTCGCTTGCAGCAGTACTGTCGTAACATCTGCAAACACAGTATGCCAACATCTCTGCATCTGAGAATTCTTATTTCTTTATTTAACGATAAATAACTGATGAGCTATAGAACACGGAAAAGGCTACACCCACATCCTCTCTCACAAATTTCCTCTTACAACCCCGATATGACAGTTCGCAATTGATCAGCTCATAATGAGTTTTACTTGATAAATTATGGGTTGACTAATTGTGAGTCTCACGTCGAGGTTGTGAAAGAAAATTTATGAAAAGGTTGTTGGTGTAGCATTACTCAAAAACATTACTTGTACAGTTGCGAATGTAAATACCAGGATGCCGAGGATGCGTGTGTTTGAGGGTGTAATGTTTGGAGGGTTTCCAAGCCATAAACAATGCCCCATCAATGGTGCCTACAATGTAACCTGAAGTTTGACACAGTACATGAAGAGGGTACCAATCATCAGACTTCAATGGAAATTTTCTGAAGTATCTGGAAATGATAACCCCCATGGGCAAGAGAGTTCCCATCCTATGATGTTTAGAACCCCATGAGCCTGCAATCAGTAATTAATTATGGCCTCAATAAACTATACATGACATAAAGTGATAAGTTTATGGCTTACATTTCTCATGAGGCGAGGCTTTCATGCAAGATGTTTTGGCCCTTCCTGATCTGAAATTTTCTGTCACTCCAGTACTTTCACCGCATCATGAACTAGAGAAGAAGAATCAACCTGGTGCTGATGAAACACATTATTTTTACTCACAATTTTCATTACAGAAAGTTCGCCATTATGAAAGAAGAAGCTTGAGCAGTACAATGGAAGAAGAGGTAAGATCAAACTCAGGATTACTAGGCAATAGAAAGTCAAAACGTTCTTAACATCAAAACATCTGAACCCAATGAATAAAACAGTACTATTTTCTTTCTTTATAGTCACGGAAAATTGAAATTTCATGCTAAAGTTATCACAGAGGTTATGATGAAACTAAACTAGTTCCACATTAAGCTAAGCTAGACCACAAAATTTACTTTCAAGTACAATACTGGGCCCTTCAGAATATGTGCTTTTCTTATAAGACTGGAGAATCAGTCTGTCCTATATCTTGCTTTAATATCTTTAGACTGTAGATTTTATTCTAATATGCAGCTCTTTTTCTCTTTCCCCAGTATTTAATCTTGACCAGCTTTATTTCTCTTCCTCCTATGTTTTCTAGAGCTGTTCAATATCATTAATACTGCAAAATCAATGTGATTTGGTAGCAAGATAGCAGCTGAGATTCATTGTGTATTTGATTTAATTTGCTTTACAGTTGGGATACAAAATCACAGCAAGGTTTGGAGGCCACTTTTCTTACATCCAATCAAATGGATATTACTGGAGAAGTATTCTGTACGTTTTTGCATGAATCAAGACCACAAAAACATAAACCAAAACTTGTAAATCTTTTTTCCAAAGTCAACTATCTCCCACCAGTTTATATATAAACTCATGCCTTCTCAAGATAAGCATTAATTCCATAGCAAATCCTTATCATCATAGCCATGAAGTTGCTGAACTTAACTTTTCTTCGCCTTAATCTCAGCAACATAATTACTGTCAATGGTCGGGCAACAAACCCAGATGATTACAGTACTGAAGAGTTTACCACTTCTTTAAGAGGGTGAACGGTAGCGCAGCAGAATTTGGCGGCGAATAATTGACTTGTGATCAGTTTCAAGAGTGTGTCGACAGATGAAGAGCAGTCCAGGGCCAGATTGCTGCAAGAAAAAATGTGTAATGTGGAGACAGATAAAGAACTGTGGAATGTGCGGGTACACGTGCCAGTACACTGAAATTTGCTGCAAAGGGCAGTGCGTGAATGCTCATTTGACAACAGAAATTGTGGAGGGTGCGGTAAGAAGTGCAAAAGGGGAGAATACGGTGTGTATGGGATGTGCAATATGCATGATCTATTATGCTGGTTTTACGTACTGATAAACTTGCAGATGTTGAGTTCTGAAATCTGAATTAACACAACAGGTAATGCCTTGTTTATTAAAAATTGACTGATTTTGGATTTCTGCATCAGTTGATCTTCACAATTTTATATTATGGATCCCTTGATTCTTGGCTTTGCCATAACAGGGAAGAAACTTAGGTCAAACTGAACAGTGTGCTTGGGAAGGTGCATAGAATCAAGTTGTTTGCTTCATCTTGAAAAGAAAATAAACAGTTATGCAATAGGACTCAATTTATGCTAATTTAATTTAATCCCTTAAACTATTTCTATAACTTCGGAATTAAGTATCTAATACGTTTAGAGAAAGGCTAAAAACACTCTCCTTTTCACTCTCTTTCCCGTTAACCATTTGACGTGTATACAAAAAGACGAAAGAAAAGACAAAAAAAATAATCATTTATTGTTTATCTTTTTTGTCTCTTGTATATTTGTTATTATAAGATATGAGTAGAAATATAAAGTCATAAGCTTAAGTTTGACATTATCTTTCTCCGATCCGACTCACACCTGGATAAGTTTATGTAGTAAATGAGAATCTAGTCTCCTTGATTTGATACCATTTGTTCTCTGGATGAACGTTTATTAGCTATCCAAAAGACTAATATCTACTACGTTTGTTTGAAGCGAAAAGCCGAAGACTCATTCGATTTCTCTTAATGGTAGAAATCAAAATATCTAACGTGTTTAATCAGAGTAGAAAAGTATATAGATACCATTTGTAGTGAATTGAACCTAAAAATACAAATCAAATCTATATCAAAATGTGATTGACAGAGAGCAATATGCAGGATAGCCAAACACTGCCCAAATATTCTGACTAACGAAATTTATGAAGTCAAAACTCTAAAATAAAGACGTGAAAGCAAGGAGCTGTAATCTCTAAAGTTAGAAGTGCTTCTGTAACTGATTCAATCCATAATATTTAGAAAAACAAATCAATTGGCAACGCGGTGGGCTGTGGGCTTTGAGTTGATCACGTAAACAAAGTCTGCTTATCTTTGCTAAGAGCCGACATCAAATATTTTCCCCATCTCTGTCCTTTCATATGCAGTCAATTTTAAGTGTGAACGTCTAATCTTCAGGGTTACGGAACACCTTATAAGTTCAATGGACTAAGATAATTACACAAATATGATAAGTATAGTTTTCTGTAACTCGAACACAAGGGCCTATGGATATAGCTAACCCTAGTGACAGGCTTGCCATCCGACTGCTGCAACGGCCGCTCTACGAACAATCTTCAAAAATTCATAATTTCTTTATTTGAGCTCCGATTCTCAAACCGTTTGTTCTTACACAATTTCGATTCTTTACTCTTCAACGTGCATGCTCGAAATTCTCATTTTTCAGCACCTAAATATCTGAAAACGCACAAAACATAACTGTGATTGTAGAAAACAAAAGAAGTATCGAAGTTAAGTAAAATTAGCAAATTAAACATAATTCTCACACAAAATACCCCTAAAATCACAAAGTATGAATGCACTTTCAAACACTCATCTCCGACCATAAGGGGAGAGATCCCATTAGCATTTTCCAATTTCGCTATGATAAGTCAAGTTTCTGAATAAGGAAATTTAATGTACAGCTTCATTGAATTGATCCATTACATGTACATATACCATGTATTTTAACTAATTGGGTTCTTCTCCCCTCAATTTTTTTCCTTACTTTTGAATTCTGGCTTAATCTTCAATTTTCAGCCTAACTTCAGTTTACTTACACATTAATTGATAACGACAATTCATTACAGAAATTAAACTTATTCATCCCTTCCCCATTTAGATTTCCTATAAATACCTCTCAGTTCAACCTTCCTCAAAAACCACAACTTTTTCATATAATAATATATTCATTCTTAGCTTCTAAAATGAAGTCATCAAACATCTTACTCCAGTTCTTGGCAACAATATTATTTTTTCTAGCCATTTCAGTGCCACAATTACATGCAAATATTGAAGCAACAGGACGTCGCTTCCTTCTGCAGGCTTATTCTACGCCTCCGCGGGCTGCGATGACTTGCAACAAGTACCCGATTGTTTGTCGAGGCAAGGGCAGTCCGGGGCCTAACTGCTGCAACAAGCAATGTGTCAATGTGCTGACAGACAAACTCAACTGCGGAAAGTGTGGAAAGAAATGCAAGTACTCAGAAATGTGTTGCCAAGGAGCGTGTGTGAATCCTTCTGTGAATGAGAAACATTGCGGCAAATGCAACAACAAGTGCAAGAAGGGAGGCTCCTGTGTTTATGGATTATGCAGCTACGCCTAGACGTCTGCCATGTTTTCTGCTTCTATATAGTTGATTATATATATAGCAAATTACCATGCATGATTTATTATATAAATAACTGTGTGTGTTTTTAGGGTTGATTGATGTGGGGAAAACTGTTTTTTTAACAGGGAAGCCTATATCAGTCTTGATCGATGGCTCTTGCCTGCATTACTTCATATTAAATTACATCTTTAATATATAATAATAATACAATAAATAACTTTGTTTGTATTGTCATGAAAACTTCCTGTTCTTACGAAAATCCGGAACAAGCTTGTGATATTCAATTGATCTCAGTAGAACTAAATAAGATGTGTGCGTGGTTAATGAAAATCAGCAAGAAATAAATCTATGTAAAAAAAAGAAAAAAATAGAGACCATTTTTAAAATGATTCGGCAAGTTAAAACCAAGCCTAGGTCCACTATAATGTTATTAAGATGTTTACGAAATAGCTGTTGTCTTACAATAATGATTTCTCTCTCTCAAGGTTCAAATAATTGTTCTTGGGTTTTTATACTATGAAAATATAATTGTTACAAGAAAAATTTTAGGGATAATGACGTAATTTTAAAAAGTTAATTTCATGATTATTGGCATGGTTGACAGCCTGAAACTATGGGGACTGTTCTTATGATCTTCTCTTTGGTTTTAGGAGATAATGTTTATCTATTATTTAAAAGTAATTGTCAAACAACTCGCTCCAATCTACTATTTACCTCGAGCTATAGCTCGCTCCGAGCTGATCACACATTGCACAACAGTTTCATAGTTGTCTGTTCTCCTTCACTGAGCCATCCAAAACTCAACTATTTGTCTTTGGAACTCTTGGAACAATTAATTTATATGCTTATTTTTAATTAAAAACGTAATTTTATATTCACTTAATGAGAGTTTTCAAAAATTTTGTATCATATAATTATATTTTATTCAATTAATTTACTAAGAAATTAAAAATATGATGAAAAAGGCTACACCCACATCCTCTTCTCACAAATTTCCTCTTACAACCCCGATATGACAGTTCGCAATTGATCAGCTCATAATGAGTTTTACTTGATAAATTATGGGTTGATAATTGGAGCTCTCACGTCGAGGTGTGGAAGAAAATTTATGAAAAAGGTTGTTGGTGTAGATTACTCATAAACACTTACTTGTACAGTTGCGAATGTAAATACAGGATGCCGAGGATGCGATGTGTTTTGGGTGTAATGTTTGGAGGAGTTTCAAGCCATAAACCAATGCCCCATCCAATGGTGCCTACAATTAACCTGAAGTTTGACACAGTACATGAAGAGGGTACCAATCATCGACTTCAATGGAAATTTTCTGAAGTATCTGGAAATGATAACCCCCATGGGCAAGAGAGTTCCCCATCCTATGATGTTTAGAACCCCATGAGCCTGCAATTCAGTAATTAATTATGGCCTCAATCAACTATTACATGACATAAAAGTGATAAGTTTTGCTTACATTTCTCATGAGGCGAGGCTTTCTATGCAAGATGTTTTGGCCCTTCCCTGATCTGAAATTTTCTGTCACTCCAGTACTTTCACCGCTATCATGAACTAGAGAAGAAGAATCAACCTGGTGCTGATGAAACACATTATTTTTACTCACAATTTTCATTACAGAAGTTCGCCATTATGAAAGAAGAAGCTTGAGCAGTACAAATGAAGAAAGAGGAAGATCAAACTCAGGATTACTAGGCAATAGAAAGTCATAACGTTCTTAACATCAAAACATCTGAACCCAATGAATAAAACAGTACTATTTCTTTCTTTATAGTCACGGAAAATTGAAATTTCATGCTAAAGTTATCCAGGAGGTTATGATGAAACCTAAACTAGTTCCCATTAAGCTAAGCTGAGACCACAAAATTTTACTTTCAAGTACAACTACTGGGCCCTCAGAATATGTGCTTTTCTTAAAGACTGGAGAATCATGTCTGTCCTATTCTTGCTTTAATTCTTAGACTGTAGATTTTATTCTAATATGCAGCTCCTTTTTCTCTTCCCCAGTTATTTAATCTTTTGACCAGCTTTATTTCTCTTCCTCCTATGTTTCTTTAGAGCTGTTCAATATCATTAATACTGCAAAAATCAATGTGATTTGGTAGCAAGATAGCAGCTGAGATTCATTGTGTATTTGATTTAATTTGCTTTACAGTTGGGATACAAAATCACAGCAAGGTTTGGAAGGCCACTTTCTTACATCCAATCAAATGGATATTACTGGAAGAAGTATTCTGTACGTTTTTTGCATGAATCAAGACCACAAACACATAAACCAAAACTTGTAAATTCATTTTTTCCAAAGTCAACTATCTCCCACAGTTTAACTATAAAACTCATGCCTTCTCAAGATATAGCATTAATTCCCCTAGCAAATCCTCTATCATCATAGCCATGAAGTTGCTGAACTTAACTCTCTTCTTCGCCTTAATCTCAGCAACATTAATTACTGTCAATGGTGTCGAGGCAACAAACCCAGATGATTACAGTACTGAAGAGTTACCACTTCTTTAAGGGGGTGAACCGGCTCTTAGCGCAGCAGAATTTGGCGGCGAATAATATGACTTGTGATCAGTTTCCAGAGTGTGTCGACAGATGAAGAGCAGTCCAGGGCCAGATTGCTGCAAGAAAAAATGTGTAAATGTGGAGACAGATAAATTGAACTGTGGAATGTGCGGGTACACGTGCAAGTACACTGAAATTTGCTGCAAAGGGCAGTGCGTGAATGCTTCATTGACAACAAAATTGTGGAGGGTGCGGTAAGAAGTGCAAAAGGGGAGAATACTGTGTTATGGGATGTGCAATTATGCATGATCTATTATTGCTGGTTTTACGTACTGATAAACTTCAGATGTTGAGTTCTGAAATCTGAATTAACACAACAGTGTAATGCTCTTGTTTTATTAAATATTGACTGATTTTGGATTTCTGCATCAGTTGATCTTCACATTTTATATTTTGGATCCCTTGATTCTTGGCTTTGCCATAACAGGGAAGAAACTTAGGTCAAACTGAACATGTGTGCTTGGGGAAGGTGCATAGAATCAAGTTGTTTGCTTCATCTTGTAAAAGAAAATAAAACATTAATGCAATAGGACTCAATTTCATGATTTATTTAATCCCTTAAACATTCTATAAACTTCGGAATAAGTTAATACGTTTTAGAGAGGCTAAAAACACTCTCTTTTCACTCTCTTTCGTTAACCATTTGACGTGTATACAAAAGACAAAAGAAAGACAAAGAAAATAATCATTTATTGTTTATCTTTTTTGTCTCTTGTATATTTGTTATTATAAGATATGAGTAGAATATAAAGTATAAGCTTAAGTTTTGACATTATCTTTATCCGATCCGACTCACACCTGGATAAGTTTATGTAGTAAATGAGAATCTAGTCTCCTTGATTTGATACCATTTGTTCTCTGGATGAACTTTATTAACTATCCAAAAGACTAATGTTATTACGTTTGTTTGAAGCGAAAAGCCGAAGACTCATTCGATTTCTCTTAATGGTAGAAATCAAAATATCTAACGTGTTTAATCAGAGTAGAAAAGTATATAGATCCATTTGTAGTGAATTGAACCTAAAAATACAAATCAAATCTAATCAAATTGTGGTTGACGTACAGCTACAATCACGGTTTGAAGTATTGAATTTCCCATTCAACTGACAATATTGGAAATTTTCTAATGACCATTGTTAACAAAACTATTCAACTTACATTCTTCTCCACTGAGATTCACTTGGATAAAGACTTTTAATAGCTTTCTTCCCATGATTGCTACCATACGATCAAGATAATCAGCCATCTGCAGAATGAAATTAAACAAAATGAGACTTGCCAAGGCCATCCAAAGAACTTCCACTAATAAGGGTACTCAGTTCAGTGAACAAGTCAATAATTCTCAGTACATCATACTCAAATCTCCAGTACTTAAAACCAAAAACAAAAGGAATAAATAAAAGAACCGCAAACTCAAGTCTCATGACATAACAAAACCTGGCAAAAAAATTTACCTTCTTGTCATCCACAGTTTCTACCATTGCAAGGTTTGGCAAACCAGCTGCACCACCAACAGATGATTTATAAACAATCAGACATCAGATTTCATTCTCCAGCAATCAAACACAAAAAAAAAAAAAAAAATGCAAATAAAGAAAATAAAAAAGATCATTACTTAGCACAGCTTTCACTTGTTGCTCTGTATAATCCCAATAAAATACCACTCTATTTCCTCTGGATGCTGCAGGTTCAAATCTGGCTAAAAATGTCAAAAACTTCCCTTCACAATAAAGGCAAAATCGAAACATCAAATTTTCAATACCCATCATGTGAAACTTTAATATTATTCAAGACTTAGAACAAACCAAACGAACGTTGAAAATAAAATATTTCTAAAAATAACCAAACAAAAGTACCAGAGTAGCTTCCTCGACGAGTTCTTGAACGTGGTTTTTACCGAAGCATCGACGACCGGCGTCATAAACTTAATGTAGGAAAGACAACGATTTGGTTTTGCTCACGGAAAATATTCGGATCCGGTCCGGCCCGCTACCGACCTGGTGAACTCTTTGGATAACGGAACGGAGCACCGCCGCAGCAACGCCATCTGTGGCGGCTGAGGACGCAGCCATTCCTTCGTCGTTGATGTCACTGTTATGGCCTCTCGTGCTGCCTGCCTTTCTTCTTGTTCTGGATAACGGTGCGTATATAGCCAGAATTGCAACGATGCTGTGTCGTTGATCTTTGCAATCAATCATACGACTATGCGTGTCTTCACCCATTCGTGCCAAGTCAGATTAGTGTGAATTTGATATAACGTGGATTCGATGTCTCGTTTGAGTATTCGATCATTGATCGCGTAAATTGATCTTAAACCTTTCGTTTAAAAAAATTACAGTGTTTTCTTTCATTTTATTTAAGTGCATTGAGAATATTTTATATAGCCAAATTAATTTATTTGGGTGAAACCAGATTCTGAAAGGCTAAAAATGGAGACAAGATTCTGAAAGGCTAAAAAAGGAGACAAGGAAATTTTTAAAAAAAAAATTGGATTACAGTAATAATTCCATTTATTTGGGTGCACAGTTTAATAAGATTCAGGAAATAAAAATGAAAGCAACAAAATCAAGTACTGAAATTGTACATGTTGTTTTCAAAAGCCATTTGCTGTTGAATTCTAGACTTGATGATCCATCTAATAATCTCCAGTGCAAACACAACACAAGCCAATACTGCAAGAATTCCCACATATACCAGTTTCCATCTTTCAGCATGAGTTTGATGCATTATCCCTTGAAATATATTCGCTATGCTTAAACCTATCACTGCATATCCCATCACATGATGGTAGATCTCCCAACACCTCCTGCATTCATCTTCTCTCCTCGCTTGCAGCAGTACTGCCGTCAACATCTGCAAACACAGTATGCCAACATCTCTGCATCTGAGAATTCTTATTTCTTTATTTAACGATAAATAACTGATGAGCTATAGAACACGNCTCGACGAGTTCTTGAACGTGGTTTTTACCGAAGCATCGACGACCGGCGTCATAAACTTTATGTAGGAAAGACAACGATTTGGTTTTGCTCACGGAAAATATTCGGATCCGGTCCGGCCCGCTACCGACCTGGTGAACTCTTTGGATAACGGAACGGAGCACCGCCGCAGCAACGCCATCTGTGGCGGCTGAGGACGCAGCCATTCCTTCGTCGTTGATGTCACTGTTATGGCCTCTCGTGCTGCCTGCCTTTCTTCTTGTTCTGGATAACGGTGCGTATATAGCCAGAATTGCAACGATGCTGTGTCGTTGATCTTTGCAATCAATCATACGACTATGCGTGTCTTCACCCATTCGTGCCAAGTCAGATTAGTGTGAATTTGATATAACGTGGATTCGATGTCTCGTTTGAGTATTCGATCATTGATCGCGTAAATTGATCTTAAACCTTTCGTTTAAAAAAATTACAGTGTTTTCTTTCATTTTATTTAAGTGCATTGAGAATATTTTATATAGCCAAATTAATTTATTTGGGTGAAACCAGATTCTGAAAGGCTAAAAATGGAGACAAGATTCTGAAAGGCTAAAAAAGGAGACAAGGAAATTTTTAAAAAAAAAATTGGATTACAGTAATAATTCCATTTATTTGGGTGCACAGTTTAATAAGATTCAGGAAATAAAAATGAAAGCAACAAAATCAAGTACTGAAATTGTACATGTTGTTTTCAAAAGCCATTTGCTGTTGAATTCTAGACTTGATGATCCATCGAATAATCTCCAGTGCAAACACAACACAAGCCAATACTGCAAGAATTCCCACATATACCAGTTTCCATCTTTCAGCATGAGCTTGATGCATTATCCCTTGAAATATATTCGCTATGCTTAAACCTATCACTGCATATCCCATCACATGATGGTAGATCTCCCAACACCTCCTGCATTCATCTTCTCTCCTCGCTTGCAGCAGTACTGTCGTCAACATCTGCAAACACAGTATGCCAACATCTCTGCATCTGAGAATTCTTATTTCTTTATTTAACGATAAATAACTGATGAGCTATAGAACACGGAAAAGGCTAAACCCACATCCTCTTCTCACAAAATTCCTCTAACAACACAGATATGACAATTCGCAATTGATCAGCTCATAATGAGTTTTACTTGATAAATTAAAGGTTGAATAATTGTGAGCTCTCACATCGAGGTTGTGAAAGAAAATTTATGAAAAAGGTTATAGGTGTAGCATTACTCATAAAACACTTACTTGTACAGTTGCGAATGTAAATACAAGGATGCCGAGGATGCGATGTGTTTTAAGGGTGTAATGTTTGGAGGAGTTTCCAAGCCATAAACCAATGCCCCATCCAATGGTGCCTACAATGTAACCTGAAGTTTGACACAGTACATGAAGAGGGTACCAATCATCAGACTTCAATGGAAATTTTCTGAAGTATCTGGAAATGATAACCCCCATGGGCAAGAGAGTTCCCCATCCTATGATGTTTAGAACCCCATGAGCCTGCAATTCAGTAATTAAGTATGGCCTCAATCAAATATTACATGACATAAAAGTGATAAATTTATGCTTACATTTCTCATGAGGCGAGGCTTTCTATGCAAGATGTTTTGGCCCTTCCCTGATCTGAAATTTTCTGTCACTCCAGTACTTTCACCGCTATCATGAACTAGAGAAGAAGAATCAACCTGGTGCTGATGAAACACATTATTTTTACTCACAATTTTCATTACAGAAAGTTCGCCATTATTGAAAGAAGAAGCTTGAGCAGTACAAATGGAAGAAAGAGGTAAGATCAAACTCAGGATTACTAGGCAATAGAAAGTCATAACGTTCTTAACATCAAAACATCTGAACCCAATGAATAAAACAGTACTATTTTCTTTCTTTATAGTCACGGAAAATTGAAATTTCATGCTAAAGTTATCCAGGAGGTTATGATGAAACCTAAACTAGTTCCACATTAAGCTAAGCTAGACCACAAAATTTTACTTTCAAGTACAACTACTGGGCCCTTCAGAATATGTGCTTTTCTTATAAGACTGGAGAATCATGTCTGTCCTATGTCTTGCTTTAATATCTTCAGACTGTAGATTTTATTCTAATATGCAGCTCCTTTTTTCTCTTTCCCCAGTTATTTAATCTTTTGACCAGCTTTATTTCTCTTCCTCCTATGTTTTCTTTAGAGCTGTTCAATATCATTAATACTGCAAAAATCAATGTGATTTGGTAGCAAGATAGCAGCTGAGATTCATTGTGTATTTGATTTAATTTGCTTTACAGTTGGGATACAAAATCACAGCAAGGTTTGGAAGGCCACTTTTCTTCACATCCAATCAAATGGATATTACTGGAAGAAGTATTCTGTACGTTTTTTGCATGAATCAAGACCACAAACACATAAACCAAAACTTGTAAATTCATTTTTTCCAAAGTCAACTATCTCCCACCAGTTTAACTATATAAACTCATGCCTTCTCAAGATATAGCATTAATTCCCACCTAGCAAATCCTCTTATCATCATAGCCATGAAGTTGCTGAACTTAACTCTCTTCTTCGCCTTAATCTCAGCAACATTAATTACTGTCAATGGTGTCGAGGCAACAAACCCAGATGATTACAGTACTGAAGAGCTTACCACTTCTTTAAGAGGGGTGAACCGGCTCTTAGCGCAGCAGAATTTGGCGGCGAATAATATGACTTGTGATCAGTTTCCAAGAGTGTGTCGACAGATGAAGAGCAGTCCAGGGCCAGATTGCTGCAAGAAAAAATGTGTAAATGTGGAGACAGATAAATTGAACTGTGGAATGTGCGGGTACACGTGCAAGTACACTGAAATTTGCTGCAAAGGGCAGTGCGTGAATGCTTCATTTGACAACAGAAATTGTGGAGGGTGCGGTAAGAAGTGCAAAAGGGGAGAATACTGTGTTTATGGGATGTGCAATTATGCATGATCTATTATTGCTGGTTTTACGTACTGATAAACTTGCAGATGTTGAGTTCTGAAATCTGAATTAACACAACAGTGTAATGCTCTTGTTTTATTAAATAATTTGACTGATTTTGGATTTCTGCATCAGTTGATCTTCACAATTTTATATTTATGGATCCCTTGATTCTTGGCTTTGCCATAACAGGGAAGAAACTTAGGTCAAACTGAACATGTGTGCTTGGGGAAGGTGCATAGAATCAAGTTGTTTGCTTCATCTTGTAAAAGAAAATAAAACAGTTAATGCAATAGGACTCAATTTCATGCTATTTTAATTTAATCCCTTAAACTATTTCTATAACTTCGGAATTAAGTATCTAATACGTTTAGAGAAAGGCTAAAAACACTCTCCTTTTCACTCTCTTTCCCGTTAACCATTTGACGTGTATACAAAGAGACAAAAGAAAAGACAAAGAAAATAATCATTTATTGTTTATCTTTTTTGTCTCTTGTATATTTGTTATTATAAGATATGAGTAGAAATATAAAGTCATAAGCTTAAGTTTGACATTATCTTTATCCGATCCGACTCACACCTGGATAAGTTTATGTAGTAAATGAGAATCTAGTCTCCTTAATTTGATACCATTTGTTCTCTGGATGAACATTTATTAACTATCCAAAAGACTAATATCTACTACGTTTGTTTGAAGCGAAAAGCCGAAGACTCATTCGATTTCTCTTAATGGTAGAAATCAAAATATCTAACGTGTTTAATCAGAGTAGAAAAGTATATAGATACCATTTGTAGTGAATTGAACCTAAAAATACAAATCAAATCTATATCAAAATGTGATTGACTGAGAGCAATATGCAGGATAGCCAAACACTGCCCAAATATTCTGACTAACGAAATTTATGAAGTCAAAACTCTAAAATAAAGACGTGAAAGCAAGGAGCTGTAATCTCTAAAGTTAGAAGTGCTTCTGTAACTGATTCAATCCATAATATTTAGAAAAACAAATCAATTGGCAACGCGGTGGGCTGTGGGCTTTGAGTTGATCACGTAAACAAAGTCTGCTTATCTTTGCTAAGAGCCGACATCAAATATTTTCCCCATCTCTGTCCTTTCATATGCAGTCAATTTTAAGTGTGAACGTCTAATCTTCAGGGTTACGGAACACCTTATAAGTTCAATGGACTAAGATAATTACACAAATATGATAAGTATAGTTTTCTGTAACTCGAACACAAGGGCCTATGGATATAGCTAACCCTAGTGACAGGCTTGCCATCCGACTGCTGCAACGGCCGCTCTACGAACAATCTTCAAAAATTCATAATTTCTTTATTTGAGCTCCGATTCTCAAACCGTTTGTTCTTACACAATTTCGATTCTTTACTCTTCAACGTGCATGCTCGAAATTCTCATTTTTCAGCACCTAAATATCTGAAAACGCACAAAACATAACTGTGATTGTAGAAAACAAAAGAAGTATCGAAGTTAAGTAAAATTAGCAAATTAAACATAATTCTCACACAAAATACCCCTAAAATCACAAAGTATGAATGCACTTTCAAACACTCATCTCCGACCATAAGGGGAGAGATCCCATTAGCATTTTCCAATTTCGCTATGATAAGTCAAGTTTCTGAATAAGGAAATTTAATGTACAGCTTCATTGAATTGATCCATTACATGTACATATACCATGTATTTTAACTAATTGGGTTCTTCTCCCCTCAATTTTTTTCCTTACTTTTGAATTCTGGCTTAATCTTCAATTTTCAGCCTAACTTCAGTTTACTTACACATTAATTGATAACGACAATTCATTACAGAAATTAAACTTATTCATCCCTTCCCCATTTAGATTTCCTATAAATACCTCTCAGTTCAACCTTCCTCAAAAACCACAACTTTTTCATATAATAATATATTCATTCTTAGCTTCTAAAATGAAGTCATCAAACATCTTACTCCAGTTCTTGGCAACAATATTATTTTTTCTAGCCATTTCAGTGCCACAATTACATGCAAATATTGAAGCAACAGGACGTCGCTTCCTTCTGCAGGCTTATTCTACGCCTCCGCGGGCTGCGATGACTTGCAACAAGTACCCGATTGTTTGTCGAGGCAAGGGCAGTCCGGGGCCTAACTGCTGCAACAAGCAATGTGTCAATGTGCTGACAGACAAACTCAACTGCGGAAAGTGTGGAAAGAAATGCAAGTACTCAGAAATGTGTTGCCAAGGAGCGTGTGTGAATCCTTCTGTGAATGAGAAACATTGCGGCAAATGCAACAACAAGTGCAAGAAGGGAGGCTCCTGTGTTTATGGATTATGCAGCTACGCCTAGACGTCTGCCATGTTTTCTGCTTCTATATAGTTGATTATATATATAGCAAATTACCATGCATGATTTATTATATAAACAACTGTGTGTGTTTTTAGGGTTGATTGATGTGGGAAAACTGTTTTTGTAACAGGGAAGCCTATATCAGTCTTCATCGTTGGCTCTTGCCTGCATTACTTCATATTAAATTACATCTTTAATATATAATAATAATACAATAAGTAAATTTGTTTGTATTGCCATGAAAACTTCCTGCTGTTATGAAAATCCAGAGCAAGCTTGTGATATTCAATTGATCTTGGTGGAATTAAATAAGATGTGTGCGTGATTAATGAAAATTGACAAGAAATAAATCTAGGTGAAAAGAAGAAAGAAATAGAGGCGATTTTTAAAATGGTTCGGTAAATTGAAACCAAGCCTAAGTCTACTGTAATGTTATTAAGATGTTTACGAAATAGCTATTGCCTTACATTAATGATCTCTCTCCTCTCAAGTTTTTTAGACCCCTTTTACAACTTTCTTGGGTTTTTATACTGTGAAAGTATAATTGTTATAAGAGTAATTCTAGGGATAATGACATGATTTTAAGAAGTTAATCTCATGGTTCTTGGCATTGTTGATAGCCCGAAACTATGGGGATTGTTCTTGTGATCTTCTCTTTGGTTTTAGGATTTAGAAGTGCCTGTGGAACAACTCGCTCCAATCTAGCTCGCTCCGAGCTGATCGCACATCATTGCACTTTCATATTTGTCTGTTCTCTTTCAGTGAGCCATCCAAAACTCAACTACTTATCTTTGGAACTCTTGGAACAATTGTTTTTAATTAAAAATGTAATTTTATATTCACTTAATGAGAGTTTTTAAAAATTTTGTATCATATAATTATATTTTATTCAATTAATTTACTAAGAAATTAAAAATATGACGAAAACTTATACTTAATCATCTGGAGAAAAAATTAAAATTCATCTTCTTTTAACTTTTTTCACTGGGATTGCATGCAGTAAATATTATCATATAGAAGCTAATTACTTCTGGGTAAAACATAATTAAAAGTCGGACTCTGACCCATCATATAAATGATAGATTTCAACTAAAAAGTCAACTCCTTTAACTGCCAAAAAAAAAATCCCTTACATAATTTTGACGAGAATAATATTATGTTTACTCACCATCTTACTATCCTTTGTAAATATAACATATAGTATAGATATTATGTGTAATTTTAACAAAGGTAATAAAATAGTTAATAAAACTCGTGAATAAGCATAGCATTTCTGTTTTGACTAAATCCCTAAATGTATAAAAAATGATAGGTAAATGAAATTCTTTAGACCCATGGGACCGGCCCGGTCCTAGAACCAATCCTAGGGACCGGTTCGGCCTGAAAGTTTTCATGGGCCTAAGCTAATGGTTTTATACTAATTAAGTTGAAAAAGCATGCATTGTTTGAATGAAAACTACTCCTAATCCTATACTTCTAATTTCAGGTAAAAAAGAAGTAGATGATGCTAAATGCTAAATATTGCTAATATTGACTTTGAATAATATAACTCCAATCAGGAGCACCTGCGGTGGCCATTACTTTTGACGTTTATACTGGATATAGGCAACATCTTATCCTAAATAAATGTTTGTCCTTTTCAATGTTCAACAATATCTAAAAATAGTATGGACAAATCATCTGTGCATACAGTATAGGAGATTTTTTTCAAGAAAAAGTACTGTAAAGATTGCAACTAGGCAATGGCAATGTGAAGAGTATACGACACTTTCCCACCCAAGGTTTGGCGAAACTATAAGCTCTCACCCCTGGTTTCATAAATTGTAGATTCCTTCCCTTAAATTGATACGATTACTTTTTTCTCAAAATAACTCCTACATCTCAAATTTCTCTCAAATAACTCTTAGAGATCCTGACCTAATTCTGACGCCATTGGACCTCCTTGACACCACCATCAGCACCCCCTTATCCTCCTCATCAAAACCCCTAACTTTTCCTATCCTCCTCACCAAAATCCCTAACTTTTCCACCTGCCGAGGTGCTTGAATTTGGCTAGAAAGGTGCGATAGAAAGCAAAAACCTAAGGGAGAGGCGGAGGCAATCAACGGCCAAATGCGATTGAAGATGTTGGGTGGTTTTAGTGGGGGGAAGCCAGTGATGCTAAAACCTTGGGTGATTGTGAGGGTTTTGATGTAGGGGTTGAGGGGATTGTAATGGTAGTGTCAAGAGGGGTTGATTGCGCTAGAAATAGGCCGGATTGACCTAAAATCGTCGGTGGGATGAATTTGAGAAGTGAAAGGTTATTTTAAAATTTCTGATGGGGTGAATTTGAGAAGTGAATGGTTATTTTGAAATTTTGATCTTTAAAATGACCATTTTACCCTTTTAACTATTAAATTAAATAGTTTTCTATTAATTTAAGGGTGGGAATCTGCAATTTATGAAACTAAGGGTGAGAACTGTACATTCGCCAAACCTTGGGTGGGAAAATGTCGTTTACTCCAATGTGAATTATTGTCATCATCACCTGCAGCCTGGAGTTGAAAAGTCTTATACATGATGTACATGCATGTGTTATAGATTAATTTCATCTGAAGATAATTTAACTCTGTGTCTGTCTATCTAGCTCCTTCTAGCTTTATAGTTTTGGGAGTTCTTCAGTCTTCACAGTACTTAAGTTGACATGGGAGAAGCTCAAGAAGTGCAACTCCACATCATGGGTAAGTTTTTGTTTTATCTATATTCAATTTCCAAGTTCATGAAAAAATCGAAATTTCTTTTGGTTCACTCATTTCAGTGATATAAATATATAGCAACAAAGAGAATTCATGTGATATTTGTGGCAAGAAGATTTAAGCTTTCATAGCAGTTCAAGGCTTTGTTTTCTGTTTTTATTTTTATAATTTATTATTAATAATAAATTCAACTTCGTGCCATAGTTTTAGGAATATTGTCTTATTCAATTACTTCAGCTTTGAGTTCATGATTTCTATTTAGAATCGTCCATAATTATGTTGGAAAGGACTGTACTTCTCAAACTGTTGTTTCAGAAAAGCAATGAAAATTTCTGTCCATGTTCAGTTTATAGTCTGATTTATGTATCTCCATAGATTAATACTTCAGTATTGAGATATAATTTAGAGTGATCAAGATGAACGAGATGAGAGTTTAAAATACATTATATATGTTGAGACTCCAGTACGAAACCTTTTAGTTAATATTTATATTCTGCATATTGTTCATTTCTTGAATTTATTTGCAGATGAGGAGAGTAAAGAACCAAATAGTGCTCTGAATACAAATATGACAAACCAATCGACAGTTCCTCAACAAATTAATTACAAATGGTGGCTGAGAATAGCTCTTTACATTCTCATTGTCCTTGTTGGCCAGACAGTGGCAATACTTTTGGGAAGATTGTACTATGTTAAAGGAGGCACAAGCAAATGGGTGGAAACATTAATGCAAGGTGCAGGTTTCCCAGTTCTCATTTTCTTCTACTGCTTTTCAGCTTTCAAAAATCCCACCACAAACAGTCTTCAAGCACATCCGAGATCTTCCTTTATTGTTGTATCAGCTTATGCCTCACTAGGCCTACTCACTGCAACAAATTGCTTTCTGCTTTCAATTGGGATGCTATATCTTCCTGTTTCTACTGTCACTCTCATTTCAGCATCCCAGTTAGGCTTCAATGCTTTATTCTCATTTTTCCTTAATTCACAGAAGTTCACTCCTTTAATCATCAACTCTCTGGTGCTTCTCACCATCTCCTCTATCCTTCTCATGTTTCAAGACGGCTCTGGAGACCCCTCTGGAGTCTCTAAAGTGAAGTTTGTTGTTGGGTTCATATGTACTCTTGGTGGATCAGCAGGGGCCGGATTGAATCTTGCCTTAACACAGCTTTGTTTTCGGAAGGTTTTCAAGAGAGGAACATTTATGGAGATCATTGATGTTATATTCTATACTTCAATGGTTGCAACTGGTGCTGCTCTGGTGGGACTTTTTGCTAGTGGAGAATGGAAAAGTTTAAGTAAAGAGATGGAATTGTATGAACTTGGGAAGGTGGCCTATGTGATGACTATTGTTTGGGCTGCTATAGCTTGGCAGGTTTTTTCTGTTGGCTTTGTAGAATTAATCGTTGAGGTGTCTTCACTGTTTTGCAATTCCATAAGTGTTCTAGGCTTCCCTGTTGTTCCAGCTTTGGCTGTGGTGTTTTTCCATGACAAAATGGATGGAGTGAAGGTGATCTCCATGTTGTTGGCTATTTGGGGCATTGTTTCTTATATCTATCAGCAATATTTGGATGGATCCAAGTCCGAGACAGATCCCAGAATAAGATGTGCACATGGTTAATGAAATTCCGCAAGAAATGAATCTAGATGGAAAGAAGAAAGAAACAGAAAGGATTTTTAAAATGGTTCGTCAAGTTGAAATGAAGCATACGTCCACTGTCACGTTATTAAGATGTTTATGAAATAGTTATTGCCTTACAATAATAATTTCTCTCCTAAGTTTTTCGAACCCCTTTTATGATATTTTTCCTGAGTTTTTATACTATGAAAATATAATTGTTACAAGAGTAATTCTAGGGATAATGACATGATTTTTGAAAGTTAATCTCACGATTCTTGGTATGGTTGACATACCGTGAGACATTTTACATCGTTTCGGAAGGAGGGGTCTGACCTAGTTAAATACCAAGTGAACCCCCCAATAGTCAAGACGCGTTTAAGGCTTGAGCAAGGGTTATTGGGCCTGAAATTTCTCTTGAAAACGGACAATATCTTGACTATGTTAGGCCGGTAGTGGGCCGAGGTGTTACATGCCGAAACTATAAGAATTATTCATGTGATCTTCACTTTGATTCTAGAAAATAATGTTTATCTATGATTTAGAAGATAACTATCCAACGACTCATTCCAATTTGATTGCCGATCTACTATTTGTCCCGAACTATAGTTTGCTCCGAGCTGATCACACATTGCACAACAGTTTCATAGTTGTCTGTTCTCCTTCACTGAGCCATCCAGAACCCAACTATTTATCTTTGGAACTCTTGGAACAGTTAATTTATATGCTTGTTTTTAATTAAAAATGTAGTTTATATTAGCTATATTTATTTGCACAGTTAAAGAGAGTTTTTTTTTTTTTTTTTTTTAATTTTGTATCATATAATTATATTTTATTCAATTAATTCACAAATAAATTAAAAATATGACGAAAACTTATATTTAATTATCTGGAGAAAAAATTAAAATTCATCATCTTTAACTTTTTTACTGGGCTTGCATGCAGTAAATATTATAATATAGAAGATAATTACTGGGGGTAAATAAAGTCGAACTTTGTTTACTTCTCGGTAAACATAATTAAAAGTCTGACCCATCGTATAAATGATAGATTTCAACTAAAAAGTCAACTCTTTTAACTGAGAAAAATTATTTTAACCCATTAATATTATTATCTTGCACATTCAACTACATATGCCAAGATTAGTATATCAGATCTTACGCTTAATTCAAGGCTCAAAAAAAGGCCGAACGAACTCCAACTACCCAAAGTTTGACATAAAATCAGATTGATATCTAAAAGGTTTAGAAATGACAAATAAATACTTTTTGTTATATTCTATTAGGGATTTCTGTCTGCTAAAAGATAGTATAGTAATTTCATCTACAGTCACAAAATTTTTAAATTTTAAATCTTTTTCTCCGTAACCATTCTCACCCCAAGTCTGTTTGCACAGCCCTCTTATGTCATTGACAAATTTTTTTATCGGATTTAGCATTTTTCTGCAAAGTTCGATGATAAACAGTGGCACTGGCCCTTGTTGGCGCATGTTGGAAATGGAGATCGGTGGGTATTCCAGTCTTTTCACTATTTTTATCTTTTAGCAAATGAAAATTCTTAATAAAACATAACGAAAAGTGGGTATTTTTCATTTTTAAACATTTTGGGTATCACTTTATCTATATAGCAAACTTTGAGTATGTGTAAGTCGTTTCCCTCAACAAAAAATTATATAATCTTCAAAGAATAAAATATTCGGAAATAAAAAATAAAAGAAAATCAAACCGAATTCTTAATTGAAGTAAGAGACGACTGTAGGGTAATGCGGTCCATCTGGGCTGGACACGTGGTTAATAGCTTAACCAATTGGGCACAAATGACGGACCCTGGCCTGGACGAGTGGCTCAAGCCTTTGCACCTTAGGATATTTTTTAATATAAGCATTCATATAATAATATGGTAAATTTTGGATACAAAAATAAAAGTCAAATCATAGAATCAATGAAAGTGCTTTCTTAACTGTTTGATAACGAGTGAAGTAGTACCTAAAGAGCTTATTCAGCTCAGCTGGTTTTTGTTTAGATGACCATAGGAATTAACCCAGTTGATACCCTGACATCAATGTTTTTATATCCAGATCGAGCCTTACCCAATCAAGGGGTCGCCCTTCTGATCGGACAGCTCAATTGGTTCAACCGGTAAGTCGGATCAATGATATCATCCTAATGTCAGGATGATATAATAAAATTTTAAAATTCTAATAATTAATAAATTTCTAAAATTTTGAATTCTGGATCTGGTAGTAGACGTTCCTAAGCAACCTGATTTTCTTACTCGACGGTTGAACCACAGTTCGACACTGTTCCCTCAATTCAACCACAAGTCAATTCGATCCAATGTCTAAAACCGGTTTTAGAGATTAAATGGATTGATTCCTAGTCGGACCAGCTAGTTTGATCCGGGTTTTAAAACCATCCTTGATATGTAATTTGAATGATCCATTCTTTGCATATAGCACAATGATATGCACTACAATAGTATTCTATTATAAGTTGAATTGAACACACAAAAGTTGATTATTGCTACTTGCTAGTTGCCACCTCTTTCCTTGTATTTCTTTCTCCTTTGATTATATAATTGCCTAATCCTTTAATTTCTTCATTAATATTACTAATAATTATTGGCAAGAGGAGACGAAAATCTCTAATTTTGGGTTTCTTCCCTAATTATACCTAATTTATACTATAATATTTCTCCTATAACCTAACTTCGTTTACTTCAATTTTCTTTAGCCCTTTGAATTAGACCACTCCACTAACAATCCACACACTTTGAAACTCTTGAACCCCCCCATGCATTTGCCTCTATAAATACCTCAACAAATCCTCCATTCTTCCCCACATTCAAACAGTTAATAAACTCATCATGAAGTCCTTTAAGTTCATGTTGTTCCTTGAGTTGGCAATGCTCGTGGCTTTGATGATCACAATTCCTGCTCTCATTGATGCCGCAACAACACTATCAGCAGCAGAAGAAGAAGAAGAACAGTCGAATGAGCAAAGGTTGACAACTTCATTACGTGGTTCCTCCAGTCGCTTGCTCTCCTTCCATTGGAAGCCTCCTCGGCATCAGAGGAGGACTTGTAACAAATACCCTAGAGTTTGTCACGCCAAGGGAAGCCCGGGGCCATACTGCTGCAAGAAGAAATGTGTTAACGTGCTGACAGAGGAGCTCAATTGCGGCAAGTGTGGGAAGAAGTGTAAGTTCTCGGAGACTTGCTGCAAAGGTCACTGTGTGAATACCATGTTCAACAAGAAGCACTGTGGAGGCTGCAACAAGAAGTGCAAAAAAGGGAATTCATGCATGTATGGGATGTGCAACTATTCATAGAATTTATGTTATATATTTCTAGATCGAGCTCAAAGCTACCTATCATATCCATGGTGATTGATTTACTGCAGCAAAACTGGATTAATTAATTTGTTCATGTTGATAATTACTAGTGTGTGTGTGTGCCCAATAATAAAGGCAAGTCATCAATATATTTGATGAAATTTGCTAATATTTGTATAATAAAGTATTAATTTGCAACCTTTTATCATTTAGTAATACTTTATATATAAAATTAATCCTAATATCGATGTGTCGTGTCGGCTATACATTAATTATTAATCATAGAAAAATAATATTATCCTATTAATTAATCGTATTGAGAATCACAGTAATCGAGATTTAAAATTAAGATTTCAACTTTGTAAATACATATAACATGTTACAACTTATAGAGATGTTCAAATTACTCTCAATTAACACTTAAAGACTAGATTTTACATATTGATGAAGCATAACATTGCTAATTTATATATCTTACAAGCATGATTTTCTTGATCTACTAATATTAAGTTTATTAACCACCCTTGGGTGGCTAGGTGGGACGATAAAGAACTCGTGAGTATATTACTCAATAGGTCTTGAATTCGATTATCTTTTATTATTAATAAGAGTGATCATTAAAAAATTTACCATGTCGTTAACTTTTTGCGTATAAACAGCCTCGGACACAAAAAAATAAAAAATGACATTGATACATATTATACAATCAAAGTATTGATAAATTCAATGATATTGATATTAAATTATTGTGCAACTCTTTTTAACACATTAGAACAAGTTAAGTATGATTATAAAAGTATTAAAAAAAACTATGCAAGTAATCTTTAAATTTTATTATTTTTATTTTTTGAGTAAATTAATTTCGTTTAATTTAGTTCATTGTTGCCCCTCCTCAACGGACTTTCTGGCTACGTCCCTCTTTACATTTCGGTTCAGAAAACAATATTTAGAAATCTAAGATGTAATTTAAAAGTTTCAGTTCTACTTGTACTTCTTTTAATGCCCAAATGCGTGATAATATATTATTCTTAAAGTTAAATACATATATGAAAACTATTGTAGATCTTTCGGAAATATAAAAGATAGATTAAACTTTTAAATTATTGAAACCCAACCCTTAAAATAAAATTAAACACACTTAATTTCAACCAAATGTTGCCAACACCGTACTAAATAACAATCTTCTGAACATTCTCTGTATCACCACCGGCCATGTTCGTATCCATATCCATTGAATATATACTTAAGATAATGTGAAATGCTAATCTTATGATTTACTCTAAATCTTTATACAGGTCAATGAGCCAAAGGTTATCTCCTACGTGCAACCACGTTTTGTGTAGCACCAAAATCTTACCAAACAACTTACGTTAGAAAAACTAAGCACTGAATCATGTAAACCACCTTCTCATTTCTTATATATATTTAACTATGTCTCCTCTTTGTTTCATGTATCTCAAACCGTAAACAATTAATATGGCCTCTCGGTCAGCCACTCTCTTTTTGTTTCTTTCATGTCTTTTGATGATCACAACCTTTGCTTCAGTTTCAAATGCGTATTCGCTTGAGGGCTATAGCTATGACTATTTGCCCAAAACCAGTATTCCTAAGAAGGTTGTCTTGAATGTAATAGACTCATGCTGGCGTTGGAAATCCAATTGGGCGACTAATCGTCAAGCTTTGGCGGATTGCGCGGTGGGGTTCGGAAAAGGGGCCATCGGAGGAAAATATGGTGCAATATATGTAGTTACCAGTCCTGCTGACGACCCTGTAAAACCTAAATTCGGAACCCTGAGATATGGCGTTATCCAGACAAAACCGCTTTGGATTATTTTCGCGAAGGACATGGTTATTCGGCTAAAAAATGAGCTTATAATGACTAGTTATAAGACTATTGATGGGAGAGGGGCTAAAGTGGAGATTGGTAATGGACCATGCATAACTATACAAGATGTTAACCATGTGATCATTCATGGAATCAGCATTCATGATTGTAAACCAGGGAAAGCTGGCCTTGTTAGGAGTAGTACTACACATGTCGGGCGTCGAGGCGGCTCGGACGGCGACGCCATTGATATCTTTGCATCTTCAAATATCTGGATTGACCATTGCTTTCTTGCTCGTAGTGCTGATGGCCTAATCGATGTCATTCATGCTTCAACTGCGGTCACCATCTCTAACAATTACTTCTCTCAACATGACAAAGTAGGTTGATGAGTTTATTATGAGGATCAAAATTTAATGATTTTGTATCGAACTCTAATTAATCAAGTTGCATTATCATTACTTTACAGGTGATGCTGCTTGGACACAACGATAAGTTTACTGCAGATAAAGTAATGAAAGTTACAATAGTCTTCAACCGATTTGGGGAGGGACTCATCGAGAGGATGCCAAGGTGATAAGGGGGCAAATTGTAAATTAATCAATCTTAAACAAATCTAATATCGATAGAGTGTTTATTGAATGCAGGGTGAGGATAGGCTACGCCCACGTTGCAAACAACAGATATGACGAGTGGAAAATGTATGCAATTGGTGGCAGTGCTAATCCAACCATTTTAAGTGAAGGCAATTACTTTGCAGCTCCGAATGATTCTAACTCCAAACAGGTAAATATATATATAACAATGTAACCTTAATTTAGCGATTAATTATATATTTATACTTGGTCATATTTATGATTGTGTTTCTTGAATAACAGGTTACTAAGAGAGAGGCTAAAAATGGTTGGAAAAATTGGAAATGGAGGACCTCTAAGGATGTATTTATAAATGGGGCGTATTTTGTGCCATCAGGATATGGAAGTTGTGCGCCAAATTACTCCAAAGCTCAATCGTTTATTGTTGCACCAGGAGAAATGGTTCCTGCTTTAACAGCTAGTGCAGGTCCTCTGCGTTGTGTTGTTGGGAAAGCATGTTGATATATATATATATGATCCTTAAATACTCAAACATTTAATTTGCTAGGTGCTTTATATTGCCGAGAGAAATTCAATCTTGTAGTTCACTGTACTGCTGGTTTTGTGGATGGATAATTATATATATGATCTTTATAATATTGAAGTTGAATTTGTCTCACATTGTCAAGTTGATAGGTTGTTATGACGTTTATATATATGGTTGAGCTCCCTCCTCCCTCGAACTAATTTTTTAGAGTAAGTTCTACTCAAATTCACTTTATCATGGTATTAGAGTCACGTTTACTTGAAGCGATAATGGATTTAAACTTGACCTTGCATGCCGAGCATAAGGGAGGGTATTGAAGTAGAATTTGTCTTACATCGTCAAGTTATATATGTGGTTGGGCTTTCTCCTCCCTTGAGACAAGCTCACTTTATCATATAATGTATGAGAAGTTAACAAGAGAAATTATAATTGAAAAGAAAATGAGAAGATATTACAGAGGATAATGAAAAAAAAAAAAAAACTCCCAAAAATTTGTGACAAACTCTATAAATTAAAGTGGGGTAATTCTCTCAACATTGTGTATAAACAAAGAAACATAAAAGGAGAAATCCTAAAGTGAAAAAAGCAATTCAAAGAATAATAAAACAAGAATAAAGAAGATAATTGATTGATTGTTTTTAGAAAAGCCTATTATCATTGCTTTGAACCCCACATGTAACTGGTGCTTTTGCTCTCACTTTCTTCAGGTACCAAACACCAGCTCCAATGGCTACAACCCCAGCAGCTGAAACTCCACTCACTGTCCCTGCAAAAATCACAACAAATTGAAATGTTTAATCCTTCAATTCATTGATTAATTGCATATATTACATCTTCAAATCAATATATACATATATTTCACCTGCAATCACTCCGGCGTTGCTATGCTTGGAAAGGGTATGATCTGCAAAATGATAATCATATAATTAAGTCGTAGTTGTTGAAAACTATTAATCTGATAAACATGAAAAGATGAAAATGTTTCTAACCTCTACAATAAGTAGTGACATTTCCTTTGCCACATAAACACAAGAAATTTTGTGTTTCCGGGTCGAATCCGCAAGTTCCACCGCCCTTTGTCATGTCCTGACACTGCAAGCAACGAGTTGTCACTGGAATATCGAAATCGATTCTAATTCCATACTCCGGAACCTGATCATAAGGCGGATTGTTTCCAATATTTCTCCAATATACACTCGTATAAGAAGCACAATACTTAAGCATCAACCTCAAGGACTCAGTCGCTTTAGGATAATAAGCGCAACAAGAACTACCATGCAAAGCCGAGGCACAGTCCGGTAAGTGCCTGCAAAGATAGCTGGAACTATCACACGATGAATCACAACGTTCAGGGAACCGCTCACAAAAGATCGGCTTCGGCTCGACGATCACGTTGGATTCACTACAGTTGAAGAAGAGATAGTCGTTTTGAGGAGAGAGTGAGAAATGAGTGCTTGTGTCAAGACTAAAGGGTCTGGTGGCACGAAAGTTATCTCCATCTTGACAATTCCACATGAATGGATCGTTGAGAAGAATGTGAGGATCGGAGTAGCTTATGCTGTGAACTGGGTATCTTCCGGAAGGCGTTCTGAGCTCGAGCTTGCCGTAATCTGAGCACACGAGCATGTGTCTGTAATAGGGGCTGCCGCAGCCGTCGTCAATGCCGAAAGGGTAGTTGATTGGAATGTCTCCGCAGGCGGTTCTGCAGAGGCTTGCTTGTGCTGTTGTGGTGAGATTGAGAAGTTGAATGATTAGTAGAATAAATAAGAAACATAAACGACAAGAACAGGAAGATGAAGATTGAGAATTTGACATGGGGTTGTTCTTGGAGAAACTGAAGGGTGGAGAAAGAATTAGAAATTTGAAACTGTGTGATTGAAGTTATGAATGGTGTAGAAGATGGTGAGAAAAGCAGTCAAGATGAGTAAAGTGGAGTGTTGAATTGAGAGAAAATTAAAGAATCTCAAAGTGTTTTCTTTTACAATCTTTCTCTTTAATTAAATCTCTTTAATATTTTTTTTCCTATTTATAGCTTTTGCTTTTTGGCTTGTAAAGGTTGTCGGAGGCCATCGGGCACGTATATCAACTAATTTCTAAAGTTCATTGAACACTCTACAAGCTTAAAAGATCAGGTAAGTTACAACGTGGTAAGTAACCCCAAGATTTGAACCTAGAAAGACAATAAAAGGGGGCAAACCTCTTGACCGCTGGGCCAACCCGTTGGGGTCAAATTTGTGGTATTCTGAGACTTGAAAATTTTGGGGCATTTCAAGAATTGAAATCAGGACCTCTCACACCCTAAGCGAGAAGCATACCACTAGACCAAATGCCCATTGCCTGTTAATTGCATTTTGATGGCCTCAAGGACTAAAATGTTATTTAAACCAACTCCTAGGGATCAATGTTACTAAAAAATTATACAAAATTGAGGTTCACTTAAGTAAAACATATGAACTTTGGAATGTGGATGGTATGGACCTAATGAATGAGTTTTAAGCCCAACCGTATATCCAGTGGATTCAGTTGGGCCTCAATGCAGGCCCAAATATAAAGTCCTAGTCAAAAGATTTGGATCTCCTTGAAAATGGGATAATATAAAAATGGGCTAACTTGAATAAACTTAGAATAGGATAAGATTATTGAAGCAATATCCACAAGAAAAGTCCCATTAATAAGATAGAAGAGAAGAGAGTGACCATAAGATAAGGAGAACAACTTTATTTCATAACTTTCTTAAAATTCAAACACTCTAATTCATTGATTTCATGACTAAAAGATCTTTGAATCTTTAGGATGATCTAGATCTGGCTAAGTTAACTCAATGTGTACTTTTTTTTTTTTTTTATGATGACCAATGGTGTTCATGTCAGTTTGTATGCACCTCAACTATTCTCCTAGGACCCAAAAATTACCGACAGGATAAGAATTCTAATGATCACCTCTATTAGTAGTCGTAAGAACTCAAACAAAGGAAACCATGTAAACTCGATGTACACTCTTCCATTACAATTCATTAAATCTTCAACATCCAAAGATGTGACATAAGTTTGATAACACGATAAGATTTAACAATTTGGAATTGAGTTTGTGTTTCCACAAGATGAGATCATAGAAACAACCAAGTAAAGATATAAAACTCATTATGGTTTACTCTTCCTTTATGATAGAGTTAAGTTTCCAGCTGTGATTAAACAAAATTATTTAACCTAATAAGAGGAAGGAGAAGCAATGAAGCCAGAATAACTGAGCATAAATTAATTATTAATTACATAGTTGATGAAGTCGGATTAAACCTATGACTATAGTTGATGTAAGTTATAAATTAACATTAATTATGACTATGTCACTCATTAGAATAAGGATCAAGAAAGTTTATAATAGCATAATCAAAGACAAAAGCAAGGTTGAAATGAAGCGCCGCATTAATTTTCTCAAGTTTAAATAATAAAATATTATATTCATTAGGTCATAAGTGTCGATATCCACGATAAATTGGTTGATATATTTTAAAAAAATAATAGCGTAGTAAATGATTTAACTAAAGTATGATTGAATCAATTTGTATAATGTTAAGTTAGTAATGTAAGTGGCCTATTAATTATCACTTAGTTATGGGTATTAACATCCAGAGTAATGAAAGTTTCATAAGTTCCAGAGCTCATGTCCCTATAAGTGCTAATAAGGGTGCCTCCTAAAGAGCTTATCTGATTGTCAACTTCAAGCCTCGGAAGATTAGTTGGGGTATGCATAAATTGATCCGAGCACTTCTAGTCACAAAAAAAAAAATTCACTTCTGATGTAACTTGAGGTAACTACCACAGTAATCAATTGGGTCTTGATGGTGATTATAAAATTAGGGATTGGTTTTCTCAATTTACAGTCTGAAAAAACACTTAGAAATCCTAAAAGTGAATTGAGTCCTCTGAGTAAAAAAGTCGAACACCAATTACAGGAATTACACCAGTTTCAAACGGAGGTATGTAAATGATTATTCTGTATTTTATAGAATAATGATGATAATATGTAAATTCAGTTTTTACTATTATAAGTAACACTAATATGAAGGGTTTTCTTATAATTTTGAGCTAAATAGATTGTGTTGTTATATGAAGTATAAGATTAAATAATGTAAAATTTGTGACAAAAAATATACAATCCTTAATATATTTATTAATTTTTATTTTACTGTGTGTATTTAGGGTTTGGATAAGTACATATACAAGACCAAATACAAATAAGATTTTGCCCATAAAATTCAACGTAAATTGATAAACACAGTAGTTATATATATTATATGAAAGTCCAATCATAGTTTTGATATGGGTTGATAGCGTAGTTGATAAGTGGGAAAATCAGAAACTTACTATAAAGCTAAAAAATCAAAAGGGTGATCAAAATCAAACCAAAGTTTCCACACAATTTCTTGTGTCTTGAAAGCCTCAAAAAAAAATTTCAAATCAAATGAAATCGGTCGCCCACAGCATTGAATAAAATTAATTTGTCTTGAATTGCTGACCAAATTCCCAAGAAAATTGGTGTGTAAGGTATCTTTTATGTCACGCTCCTCATCCATCCTCGTGGGGATCATCTACTTTTAAAAAAAAAAGTCTACCAATTCGCCATTTTTTTCTATCTTCATCAACTCTCTTTGTTTCTTTCTTCATTCAACTTTCATTTATGGTCAATTGCCATAACCAATCAAAGACGTTATGTTGTAACTTTCATAAATAAATGTTAACAGTTTGTAGACAAATTTGAGACAAATTGCTTCCTTTTCGTTCATCTTGAGCGTGCAAATGATCAAAAGGGTCTATTCAATAACTCCTTCAAAGAATATTAATGGTGTAGTTTATGAGGTTTATAATTAATTTCCGAGTAAGTTGTTCAAGAGCATTAAACCTAGCTTTGACCTCTCTCTTAGTTGAAACTTTGGAAAGACATTAAATTAAGTCAGATCTCAACGTCTCGGTGGCTTGTTTTTGAAACGATCTAGAGAGTATTTGGAACCAAAAGAAAATCACAATAAAGAGAAAGAACACGTATGATTTATCCTGGTTCATCCAAATCTGGGTTACATCCAGTAGATTTAATATTATTTCAATATTTCATTACCTCTCTTCTTACAATGAATGTATTTGCTATAAATTACTATATCACTCATACAGAAGAATAATATGTTTATATATTAGGTTTGTTGAAAGAAACCTTAAACTGTTAGGATTCTTATTTCTAAGACAAACCCTATTAGGAGTTCCACTTCTTAGAGAAATCCTACAATAGGTCTTCATGGTACAAGCCTAAACCACTTACAGGTTTGGGGGCACTACCCCTTATAGACGAATTTCTTATTGTTGAAGTGGTTGTCAATTCCGACAGTGTTTGTATTTGTCAGAATATGTAAATATTCAACTATATGTAGATGTAATTTTGGATTGAGTTAACATCGTTTTCAATTGCTAATTTCTACTTGATTTTTGGTCAAATTAAGATAACGAAGATGACTGATCTTGAGCATAACATAACTATTAGTCAATTCTAATACTCTTTTTTTTCTACTCTTGGAGCTAATTAATTTTATTAATCTCCAATCAGCTTATCTTCGGTTGTTCAGTATAAACTTATAATCCAGCATGTATCCCAACATGATAACTGATGCTCACAACCAACCTAACCTTAATTTAGTTATTATTTATAATTAATTAGCAATAACAACTCTTTACTTAAACAAATTAACACAACATTAACCCATATTTTTTTTTTTTTTGGATGATCGGGACTGTCCGAGCCAACTTGCGTGCACATCGACTAATCCTCTGGGGTTCTGAAGTTAACAATCGGGTAAACCCTTAAGTGACCACCCCTATTAACAATCGAAAGAAATTGAATTCAATACATATTAAGTAATACATCCAAAAGTCGCTATCACTCCACCCAAACAATAAACACTCAGGGGCGGTTAGATTAACCCATAATCAATTTTGTAGACGTCACAGAATCAATCAAAACAAGCATGGGGCATCAGGAGCAGGTGGATTTGAATATCTTGTAGTTGGGTCCAGCGAGAAAAAAAATAATTAATATTCATTGAATTTCTTATAGTATTATATTAGCTTATATGTATAAATACAGCTAGAAGTGGACTAAATCATATAATCAAGTTAGCCATTTCTTTGAAAATGAATGATGGGCACCTTTTTGTCCTCATGTTTTGCCATCCAATTGTCGGTCTATTAGGGTTTTAGAAAGTTTGAAACTAAGAGGAATTAGTTTGAACCCATCTTTGATTAATTAAAAGAATTAATTAGTGTGAAAAGTATCTTTAAAATTGGTTGAGTGAGGCTATAAGCAACCTGCCTGTCTTTCTTCAATGGCGTTTACCTTTTTATATGGCGAGATTGGTCTGCAAATCCTGGCTGTATAAACCTAACCACACACCAAATTTCCTACATCATGCAAGTAAGCCACGTGGGTGGCAACATCATCATCATCATCATCAACAAAAAAATATTGGTCAACATATGAATCTCAGTCAACTCTGTCTGTCTTTTTTTTTCTATGTAGTTATTATTTTTCTGCATGGTTTGAAAAAGCTCTCCATAGTTTAATAAAAATGCCGCTCTCTCTTGGCTCCTTCCTCACCAATCTCATAAACCTTTCTCTCTTTATTATTTTATTTCTTGAAACCACATCACGAAATTGATTTGGTGGTTCTATATTTTAAAGGGCTAACGTATGATTAGGGTTTTGGAGAATGGAAAGTTGGAAGCTCTTTCTCTCCTGGGCTGGGAAGAGAAGTTATACATAGTTTTGATTGATTAATTAATAGCTGCAATGGAGGACCAAGAAAGTCATTGGTTTGGACAGGGAAAAACATGGGGTGTCGTTGATCTTTGAAAGATAGATGAAGTAATTTTATACCTGCAGCAGTTGACTGCCACCATTAACAATTTTCTTTGTTCATAT